AGTAACAATGAATGCACGCGGTGTATGTTTGGTTGCCTATAAAACAATCGTGCGTTAATATGAAATATTACCACCTTTAGGAATGCTTTCGATCGAAAGTGATTTGACGAACAGTTTGAAAATTATGATGGGACAATGAAATGATTCGCAGATTTGAAAATCAGAAATCAGGAATCGTAATATGTTTCTCCTAGTAATTGCGTTATTATTCAGAACCTGTATGAACTTTTAGTTTCAATATCCCAAAGATTGAAGATACTATATTTTTATCAATGAATGTCATTTTTTTGCTTTTTCATGTCCTTTATAATCTTTACATCTTCATCATCAAATGTTTAGTTTTGTTTTTCTACATTCATGCAAAAAGCAGAACTTTATTGAACTATATTTAGTGGAAAAAGAAGTTCTTTATTGCACTTAGTGCAATAAAGTTTTTATTGCACTCATCTGTCATTCTACTTCAACGTGCTGTCATCATGGCAAACATTTTTTATATTGCAACTGTGGTTATAGAAACGTCAGTCAAAAATTAATTCTGACAATCAACAGAATTGTACCTAGTGCCGCACCACAATAAATCATTTTTTGCATTTTGCATGAACGTAGAAAAAATTTTGTATGCAACTCGTGCAATAAACATTCACTTTTTGCACTTGTTGCATAAATAACTATTTCCTTTGTATTTGGGAAGAAAATATTACATGGTTTTATTGATGAAAAAACAGAAGGTATTGAGTATTGATTGAAAAAAACAGGAGAAGGAATGGAGGTAGGGGCCACAGGGGTCCCAAGAATTATTAAGCTTAGGGCCCCAGAAATCGTAGATCCGCCACTGCTGACTGCTGGCTAATGCCACGCAGAACATTGAATTACATCCTCCCGAAATCTATGCATCGACTCAATAGGCATTCAGGAAAGATTCACTTGTATCAGTATTCGTTTATACGAGTCGATGCATAAATTTCGGGAGGATGTACTCCCGAAATCTATGCATCGACTCAATAGGCATTCAGGAAAGATTCACTTGTATCAGTATTCGTTTATACGAGTCGATGGATAAATTTCGGGAGGATGTAATTCAATGTTCTGCGTGGGATTAGACAGGAAAGTAGTTGTTTTTCACCCGAAATCTACCACTTCATTCCACTTTGAGCATTGTGGCTGTATCGTAGTTGAAATTACGCCAGTCGGGCAACCAGCCACTCCCGTATGGGAATTTCAGTTTTAGAGTGTTTCTTCCTCCGTTTCTACTCAGATGGCGTATCTTTCATATTGTCTATGAAGGACGCCTCGGGGGGAATATAATGCCGACTTGATTTTTGTTTGGCTAGTCTACGCTCAGTCGACGGTCTTAGGACTGCTAGCTGGAGACTGCCCTGCACTGATGAGATTCAAAGAGCTCTAAACCGGTCTGTAGGTGTCTAGCGTGGCCTAGCTGAATCGGAAACAATAGGCATGCAGGAAAGTTTCACTTGTAATAGTATTCGTTTATACGAGTTGATGCATAGATTTCGGGAGGATGTAATTCAATGTTCTGCGTGGCATTAGCCAGGAAAGTATATAGTTGTTTTTCACCCGAAATCTACCATTGTTGTTCATTTTATAAACATTGCGTGGATATGACTTTGAGCTTTTTGCATTTATTTAACATTTCACTCCACTTTGAGCATTGTGGCTATTTCGTAGTTGAAAGTAGTTATTGTTATTCATTATAGAAGGGAGAAAAGTACTAGATTTCAGCTCCAGGCTGTGTTGTCTCCCGACGCCCAGCGGAGGGAGACAAAAAACCTTTAGCTTAAATCTAATATTTATATATATTTTATATATAAATACAGTATTTTTTTCTGTGATAGGAAAAAGCACGAATCACGAAAATATATTACATTATATTGAAATCAGAAAACTTCCGAAGTGAAATTTGAGATCTTCAACAGGAATTACACCTGCGTTGCAGGCATCTTCATCATTCATTGAAGTAATCAAATATATGTCAGTGTAATTCACAAAAATTGCGAACTTAGTGGTTGTTTAGTAATTTACGTAACCGCGAAGTCGAATGGAAGATAAAATGACTTCTTTCACGGATATGGTATTATTGGATTATTTTGGAACTATAGCACAACCAGAGCCATGCATCAACAGTGTATATATAATATTATATATGTGATATATCCGGTAAAAAAATACTCACTTTTTTTCCCTTGGTGATTTATAAAAAGTGACATCTCAACAGAGATCCTGCAGGATTCGCTGATGTTGCGTTCCAATTAACAGTGCTGCTCCTAAAGTGGCGCATGGAGTTAGTAACAAAGCCTACACAGAACACGCAGAAAGAGATGATGTGGTTGTGAGCATCAGGGAAGAAGTAGGACGGTGTATGTAGTTGGGTGTGGAAAACTACCAGCCTGCCACTGCAGCATGGTAGTGAGTACATTACTAGCATTCAAAACGTAGCAGAAAATACTCTGAAAGAGAGCTGATGGGCGGTGCCTGGAAAAGATGTTGGCCAGCTCTCTTAAGCGAACCACATCACTCTTGCTTGCCAAAAGGTCCCATTAGAGACTAGTTGCTGACGTGCAAACGTCCCCCACCAATACCAGTATCCGGTAAAATCTTATTTCAGCCTCGTCACATTATGTCAGCCTCGTCACATTATTTCATATTAGGTAAAGTATATCCAATATCAATTGCAGAATATCCCGCACTGTGCGGCGTCGGCGTGTTTGAAGTTTTCTTTGAAGTGACTGCAGGTGCGGCACAAGATTCTGCAATTGTTTTTGGATAAACTATACCTACATACGTATGTTATGAATTATTGTTATGTGCTACGTTTAAACATCTTCCCTTTTTTTCCATTCATCATTTCAGTTTACTTCAATGGTGTAAGAGTAGCCTTTGGCTAAACTGCGCCTTCTATGTACCTTCACCAAAAAATACGATTTATTAATATTATTATTATAATTATTATTATCAGGTACCATGTATGTATGTATTCAAATCTGAAACATCCTGTGCAATTAGTGTTTAGAATTCAATCTAAACCCCATCATTATGTTCGAAACTAATGACATGAAAAAGACGACCTTGATACGTCTCCGAGATGTTAGACATTGATAATATCGTAAATCTCAGAAAGTCGTCAGTACCTGAATGTCGATTCCAATTATTAAAATCTGCTTCTTTTCTTCTGACAATACGATTTCACATAATGGTATACCGCCCAACTGTTTTCAAGGTTTATTAGTTATTTTTAAAATAATTCTTAAAAATGCCAATTTGGAAGGTAAAAGCAATCTCATCAGATTGAAATGAGATAATCTTTCAATTCACGTATAATTTCGAAATAAAAATTAATCTTGAATTCGTTTCATATGTAGAATAAAACACATGGAATACTGTCGGATTGTGATTGATTCATTTTTTTTATTGTAAATTATCACGATGAAATGAAGTTGATTCTCATTGAACAACTCCTCCCCAACATAAGCTGGCAAACTTCCACTCTTTCAGATACTTTCATGAAAAATGCATGTTCTTTGGAAATCTTGGCAGTCAGACAATCTCAACAAGCTCAGTAGGCATATATTCTTTCGTCTTTATCCTCGGAATGTGTCAAAAAACTCTCTACTAAAACACGTTTTTCCACAGATTGGGGAATCTTTGTGAATTTTTGTCTAGGAAGGTATAGTTGCGAAGAGCTTTCAGGTCCGCACGATGTTTCACAAACATAAAAGGAATCATGTTTCGTGTGTCCCGAAAGATAAAAAAATTGTGGATCTGAAAATTTTCTAATTCGACGCGAATTTCTATCATTTGACAAATAAAATTTGTTTGTACAGCATCAACACGAAACTGCTATTTCTCAACTGTTTCCGATAAGAGAATGTGGTACATATGTCTGCAATGTCATTTCCTCACCTTATAAAACAATACTTCAATGCGTGTTATATTTCTCTTGTTGAATCTTTTCGCTATTATATGTTGAAGACATTGGATAAGTATAGTGCATAACTCGCACTATTGGGAAATAACTGTCATATCAAGGTTTTTGAACAATATGTTTTTACTATTTTCCATTATTCTGAGAATGAAGCCACTACACGGTGAGTAATTCCCCAACGTCAAGAAGACCATCAAATATACAAAAAAGTTTTAAAGAATGGATAAAAATGATTTCTGGGTTTTCAGATCACCCATGTATTGAGATACATCTCTGTCAATAGTTCACATGTTTCCTAGTTCCAAAATGTCGTTTTTTAAGATTAAGAAAATATCTATTTCAGAGGGTTAGAAATCACAAACTCATCTCCACAATGTTTAATAATCGAAGATTATTTGGGGGAACATGTTTCGGATAGTCATGTTTCCATCATCAGCCTCAATCCTCACAAACCAAAGATTCTATAATATGATACCAGTGCAAATAAGCACCGGTTAAGGGTCAGGTTAATTGTAAAAGGGCTCTGTGTCCCTATGAGGACCTACATAATCAAGATTTAATGGCAGAACCCATTTTTGGAAAAAAACGAAAAAACAGTGGTCAAATAATTACCCGAAAACAAACCTCAGATGATGGAGAACAAGTGGCGTTCTTAGCAATCCATTTAACTCCACCGTTCTTTTGGGTTTTTCCAGAAATGGGTTTTGGGGACACAGAGCCCTTTTTCACAATCAACCAGACCCTTAACCGGTGCTGATTCTCACAATAATATCATTCAAAGTTTTTTCATTATGATTTTTCCAATCCCACTTGAGTGTATCATATTATAGGACCTTTGGTTTGTAAGGATTGTGGCTGATTATGATACATGACTGTCTGAAACATGTTCCCCCAAAATGATTTTTCTATTAATAAACGTTGTGGAGATGACTTTGTGTTTTCTAACCCTCTCATCACTACACTCCACTAAGAGAAAAGTATGGACTTCTACATAATATTGAATATCTATTTGATTTTTCAATCGTTCTTCCAGACTTGTATTCATTTTGAAGAAGTTCCATTGACTCTATAAATACTTTATTTACAACTCGAACAACACAAATATCACAGTCATATTGTCATCCCCCAATCCTGCTTGATCATATCCGCTCCCTTCTCCGCTATCATATACGTGGGGGAATTAGTGTGAGCCGCAGGTATCTCAGGCATTATCGACGCGTCGATAACCCTCAATCCCTTAACGCCGTACACCCTGAGCCTGTGATCCACCACAGCCTTCTTGTCCTTAGCAGGTCCCATTTTGCACGTGCCGCTCTGGTGGTAAATGGTGAACGTGAAGTACCTAGTCATGCAGTCGAAGTAGGCTTCGCTGGCAAAAGGTCTGTCTGCGCACTGCGGAATAGGAATGGCGTGCAATCTGCTGCCTAAAGCTCGCAAAGCAGGCTGCGACGTGATGTTCATTATCAGCCTTACGCCTTTCAGAATGGTGTCCATGTCGTCCTGGTGAGCGAAGTAGTTGGGGTAGATCCTAGGCTTCGTCATGTAGTTTCTGCTTTTCAGCGTCACCTTGCCCTTGCTCTTCGGCCTCAGAAGCATCGGGAAGACCATGAAGCTTTCCGCGTCTGCTATCGGTTTGTACACGGCGTCGTAGATGGAGTCTGTGATGCCGAAGTCTTTCCTCAGTACGGGGTCGGACACTATGGATCCACCTTGGAACAGGAGCTCCATGTCTGGATACCCGTCGGGACTTTGGGGATTCGCGAAATCGTGGAAGATCAGCACCTCGCAGCCTCCTGGGATCGAGAGAGGGCCTTTGTGGTGGTTCAGGTAGTTGTTCAGGTTCTCTCTGGAGATGATTTTGTCGGTGCGTAGGGAGTAGGGTTTGTCGATGATGAAGGTAATACCGCCGGTGGCGATGTGGTCCATGAGGTTGTAGCCTACTTTTAGGTTGCTGATGACGGGGATGCCCAAGGAGGTTAGGTGTTTCTTGGGCCCTATTCCGCTTAGCATCAGCAACTGCGGGGAGTTTATGGCACCGGCAGACACTATTACTTCCTTTTTAGCGAGGATTTGATAGGTTTTGTTGTTCCTGACGAATTCGACGCCATAGGCTGTTTTGTTTATGGGGTCGATGAGGATTCTTGATACCATGGAGAATTTCTTCAGGTGCAGGTTCGGTCTGTTGGCCACTGGGTGGAGGTAAGCTCGGCTTGAACTGTCTCGGATTCCATCTCTCATAGAGACTTGCAATCTTGATACGCCTGTCTGTAAAACAATGTCATTCTGATGACCATTTCATATTGAAAGGCTGAAATGAGAAATAATAGATAAAATTGTATTTTCCTAGGTAATATCCCGAGACCATGAGAAATAGCCGACTTTTATTTTCTTCGTAATTCTATCGAGAGTACCTTGTATTTTGACAATTTGATGAGACCATATGAACATTAATAATCTATGATTATTTATGTTCATATGGTCGAATTGAATTGTCTCAAAATACAAGGTACTCGAGATTGATTAAAGAAAATAATAGTCTCCATTTGTCATGGGCGAGTGATATTCAGGAAGATTATTTCATGAACAGTGTTCAAATAGTGGTTTATATGAGTTTCAACATTTTATTCAAGTTACAATTCTGCAGATACTATTCAATTCAACTAAAGTTAGAGCAATGCAAAAATATTAACCCTATTGATAGCGTTAATATGCTTTGATTAGAGCTTCTGTACTTTCTCTTCTTGTTTGAGGAAAATATTGCAGGCTTCGCCTTTTTGCATTATGCGCAACCCTGGCACCTTTGAATTCGATATATTCAAATGGATTTGTCTAACGTTTATGTTCATTGAAGTAACCTTCCTGTGTAATATAGGTTTCCATATCAATTTCAACTATGTATTCCTAATATTCCTCACCATTCTCCTCACCCAATCTTTTAGGATTTGGGCAATCACGAGAGATGTGGTAGTCGCACAAAATTCATAGTTATTCTGCTGGCAAAAAAACAGACAGACAGACTCTTTACTCTCCTTGTTATTTTCTGATATCGATTCGCTTACATAATTACGAATTTCCGTAGTGGAAGTTGACCCAAAACGAGACATTTTAATTTTTGAGTGACTGATAGGTATCTAGTTTGACAACCATAGCACTCTTATGCTGGCGATCAGAATAGCCGCTCATATTGTTTGTTTACCTAAATAGCCGCTGATATCGTATATCATGTGACTTCAATCAAGACATTTCATAGGTCCAGACGGGTGTGAATGAAATAATCATTTGTAATACCAGTAGTGCTCAAGTTTCTTCTGTCAGTTCTAATAGACTACTTTTTGAATACTGTCTGTAGGTTAATCAAGGAGGTGATACATTCATTATTCCAGATTTTTTGGGATTTTCTCTCCTCGTTTCTATAAAATAAAAATTTGAATATTATTTCAATATACGTGTAGTAAGGACAAATCAGATGACTTGCCCCAAAATGTGACTGCGTTTGAAGAATTTTCTTATCAGATAGCCTAACAGAAAAATTCACTAGCTTGTCAGTGACAATTTGTATTGAAAAAGGTTCGGAGAAGAGAAATAAAGGTATATATCGAAAATATATCAAATGTTGACTTAGCTTTGGACGTTTCGGGAACGAATCTACTCCCGTTTCCAACATAAAAATTGGATTTTTGCATCGCAAATTCGTATTTGTCCTGACACTTTTCAGTTCTCTGTGACAATTGGTGACGTTGGCAATCAAATGAGTTACAGGATGTTCTCATTAATTAATCTTGAATTGTCCATTTTCATTTTCAGAGTTCAATAGTGAATACCATGTTCTATCTATATCAACTAAACAGGAAGCGATGCCATTGGCTACGTTCAGAAGAATGCAAGCAGATTCCTTGATTTTTCTCTTCTGGTTGTTATCTTCTCTTCCAATGATTTTAATATTATTTCACTTTCCTGGACATATCCTTACTGAAGATGGACAACATATGGCAGTTGATATAGATAGAACATGATATTCACTACTGAAATCTGAAAATGAAAATGGGAAATTCAAGATTGATGAAAATATCCTGTAACTCAGAACTGAAGAGTGTCAGGACAAATACGAATTTGTGATACAAAAAATCCATTTTTTATGTTGAAAACGGGAGCAGATTCGTTCCCGAAATGTCCAAAGTTCAGTAAAATTTTGATATTTTTTCTATATACCTTCATTTCTCTTCTCCAAACTTTTTTCAATACAAATTGTCACTGACAAGCTAGTGAATTCTTCTTTTAGGCTCTCTGATAGGAGAATTCTTTAAACGCAGTGACATTTTGGGGCATCATCTGATTTGTCCTCACTACACGTATATTGAAATGATATTCATATTTTTATTTATAGAAACGGGGAGAGAGAATCCAAAAAAATCTGGAATAATGAAGGCACTTTTTCACATTCAACAATTACATTGTGCTGTTACAGACCTCAAAAGATGTTCCATATCATTTGAATGTGTTTTTGTTACAAATCATGAGCCTATGCGTGATGTAGACGTCAGTTTTCAATATTGCTACGAAAAACCATAGAAATAGTTATTTAACCAACTAGTTTATTAATGATGGCGATTAATGATCGAGAAATTTTAACGTGCGAGCGAAGCGAGCGCGTTAATGTTCGAGATCATTAATAGCCTTTTAATATACAAGTTGGTTACAAAATTTTTCCGTCGACTATATTTCTCATTTCTCCTGCAATGAAGAAAACTTGGTTCGCGTATTCATCATTCATCTGGAAACTGCTAAGAATCACCCAGTAGCCTTGTCACTGACATTAGTGACATTTGACATTTGTCGAAATGATCAACATAGAAAATAAATTCCTTGTGTTAGAAAACAGGGATTAAAATCGTGTCAGAAACTTGGAAAGGTGATCCCGTTAACAGAAAATCTTCAATGAAATCCATATTTTCGATTTAAATGCAGATTCCGTAAGTTATAGCATAAACAATGAATGCACGCGGTGTATGTTTGGTTGCCTATAAAACAATCGTACATTAATAGACAAATCGTTCATTAATAGGGGTCATTAATGAACGATTTCATGTACATTAAACTTAGTCGTTAATACGAGGTCGACGGAAATTATATATTATATAATTTCTATGCGAAAAACCCCGCCAAAAGTCAGTGAAACTCGGCCAACACGTTGCCAAGTCAGGGTGACAGGGTCAGGTTCACAGGGTGAGTCATAAATGTTGGGACATAGGCTAAGGGCGAATTGTTTGTAGCAAAATATGGCGATATGACGAAATATACCTCAATAAAATATTGTAATGGGAAATATACAGAACGTTTCAATCGAGAAAGTATTGACTATAAACTCGTCCCATAATTCATTTCCTGACAAAAAATGTTATTCACCAGTAACAATCATCTGATAGTCCAAAGCACCCTCTTCATGAATAAAATAATATTTTAGTTCCCCTTTCAAGACATCAAACTGTTCAACTGCATTTTTCTCTACAACGGATGAAAATATTGTTTTTGAACAAGTGTAATAATATCACGTAGACATGATGTTCATGTCATATTTCCTAATTGAAATTACTGAAAAGTTTCGTCAAAAAAGTTCATTATTCGATGTCATCATCAGGAATCATTCACGTTGAGCCCTCTGTATCAAACTGTAGAATAATACATCAAATAATATTTCCTGTATAAAATAATGCATCTTTGCCGATTTTGATAACAATTGATGGATAAACAGTAAAACGAAAACATGAATTCAACTTCAACGACCTGAATTTTTCCACAGCAATATTCCATTAAGAAATACAGGGTGTCTGTAAAAGGTTGAAACATGGCTCGACTGTGGACTTCTTGGATAAAAACAAGTTGATTTAGGCTAACTTACCTATGTCCAAAATCGTCTCGTAAAGTTGGTACAGGGCGTTGAATTTTTTTTGTGAAAAAATTATTCTGCTAATAAAAAGAGTAGGCTGGGATCGTATGAAAATCGATCCCAGCCGATTTTGGCATGACATGTTCTGTGACTGTAAGTCACGTTTTGAGATATTTGTGATCATCATCAGTAACCTGCAAGTGTTTCAAACAACCATGTTGCCGTAAATGCATTTTTTTTAATAATCTGGTTGGGACATGGCTTGACTATAGACTCCTGGGATAAAAATAAGTTGATTTCAGCCAAATTACTTATATCCAAAATCGTTTCGTTGAGTTGGTACAAGGCGTTAAAGTTCTCACCTTAGGTCCTGAATAATTATCACTGAATTTGTAACGCGAGAGTTCTTGTACATCCCGCGAGGACAAGCAACATATCAATTTGTTCACAAAAAGAATACCTTGTGGTCATGATCAATAAACAGTCCGACAAATTAGAGTAATTTTCAAAAACTCGCAGGATGCATCTGATCAAAAATTATTTATTTGCAAATGAACCTCGAGACTTATCAAAAATTAACAAGGTACAAAAAAATTTTTCTGAAGAACATATCTTCCTGGAAAAAAACTGGAAGTTTCTAGTGTGACTTTTGAAAAGTTATCACCAAATTTGTAGGGCAACATGGTTGTTTGAAACACTTGCAAGTCACTGATGATGATCAAAAATATTCAAAAACGAGACTTACAGTCTCAGCCTACTCCTTTTATGAGCAAAACTATTTTTTCCAAAAACACTGCAACGCCTTGTACCAACTCAACAAGACGATTCTGGATATAGGTGAGTTGGCCTGAATCAACTTGTTTTTATCCCAGGAGTCCACAGTCAAGTCATGTCCCAACCTTTTACAGACACCCTTTATTTGGTCCTATCGCCATATTTTGGTTCAAACAATTTGCAGCCTATTTCCTATTAGTTATGACTCACCTCATATGGTTGATTGATTGTTCAGAAATTATCGTATTCGAGTAGTATCATTCGAAATATACCTGAGTTGGTCCGTTGTAGTCCACATATTTGATTCCATTCTCGATGCTTGCCTTGATTATGGCATCAGCAATTTTTGTTTTGTCAGGTGCATAGCTGACTGTTAGGTATCCATTCGTGTTGTGGTAATTTGGATCTTGAAATTCGGGAATGGTGAAGTTTTCGATTTTCTTGAAATATGGCAGGACATCTTCGAAGGACCTGAAATAATATCATATTAGAGAACGCAGGGTATAACATGAAGTTATAGTCATGTTGTAGCCATCTAGTGGCAATAAAGCTCTAAGGTAGGATACAGAAATCGCGACACACACTGTATGGCGCTGCCATCTATAGTCACACGTACAGACCCCTACGTCTATACGTTACAGAGTGGTACTACAAGTAAACCACTCTGCTGACAGATGGCACTACCTGACATACTTGAGTGGAATTTTTCCACCACCTATTCAACTGCTAGATCTCATAACTAAGAGATCTAGGATGAACAGAGTTGCCTCAATTGTCAGCAGGAGCGAGACAGTACTGTTTCGACCCACCAGGTCTCATCAGCCGCTCTCGGTCTGCTGACAACTGGGACAACTCTACGCTTCGGGTATATCACCCATTTCGAAGACGCAGGGTATAACATGAAGTTATAGTCATGTTGTAGCCATCTAGTGGCAATAAAGCTCTAAGGTAGGATACAGAAATCGCGACACACACTGTACGTGTGACTATAGATGGCAGCGCCATACAGTGTGTGTCGCGATTTCTGTATCCTACCTTAGAGCTTTATTGCCACTAGATGGCTACAACTTCATGTTATACCCTGCGTCTTCGAAATGGGTGATAGATATACCCGAAGCGTAGAGTTGTCCCAGTTGTCAGCAGACCGAGAGCGGCTGATGAGACCTGGTGGGTCGAAACAGTACTGTCTCGCTCCTGCTGACAATTGGGGCAACTCTGTTCATCCTAGATCTCTTAGTTATGAGATCTAGCAGTTGATATTAGAGAATGCTTTGTCGGAATTTTGTAACATCATCATCAGCTTGAAGCTACAGAAGTGATTGATGGAAGAGAGAGATTATGTTGAAACAGTTTATACAAATTCTGAATTTTACAAGGTAGAAATAGGTCTTTCAATAACTATGAAAAATATAAAGTTCATAACATATCACATGTCCCAATGGCTGTCGTTCGTTTTGGTCCCTCGCTGAAGCAGTCGAAGGAATTTCACTGATAGTTCATTTATATATGTATAACAGGTTGATGATTGAACGAGTTCAGAGACGATTCCTGATGTTTTTTTGTTTCAAAATCGATAATAGATATCCCAAAAGTGGCGTACTTTACCAAAATTTAATATCGCGCTTTGATTTTGAAAGTCTTGAAAGAAGAAAGCGTGCTGGCATTATTTTTCTATTCAAATTCTTGCACTATCAAATTGATGCAAGTAATATAGTGTGTCTCAATTGAATTTTTTTGTTTCAAATTCTTCTAGGTACAATTAGACGTTTCATTGTAATAGAGCCAGAATAAATTCATATCTGAAGTCCCCTATATATAATTATACCATGTGTGAAAAATTCAATAAAATTTCTGGTTACTGTGATATTCATCATGGTACACTGAATTATATAGAAAATATGGCTATTCAATATCTGAACGAAAACATTATGTAATATGTAACAGTCTTCTTCTTTTTTCTTTTACATTTTATAGATTGTAGTATTTTCTTCTTTCTCTTTTTTCTCTTCCCTTCATCTATATTTGAATATTCTTGAATATCATTCATCAAAATGTTTGTGACTACACTTTGAACTTTCTTTTGAATAATATGTCCTGTAAATGGGTAACAGTTGGGCAATAAACGCTATTATTATTATTTTTTCCCACCACTATCCAAAGCCGACGGCACATTAGCAACCACATCGCCAAAGGAAGCAAACATTCGCAGCACTTCAGATTCTCAGGGAAGGGTGTCCCATACATTCCACCCGTTGAAAGTCGAATGCTCTGAAGTCTGAAATGTCTTCCGTCAACACATCAGCAGACGCATTTTGCTTGGTCTCCAAACGAATGAGGCGAACGGTCCTGATGGAATTCCACCCATTATTCTCAAAAAGTGTGCACTAGAATTGACACTGATTCTCTGCAACTCATACCATCTCATATACAAGTCGGCTGCTTTTTCCATCGTGCTGGGAATCAGCTAGAATACAACCAATGCCCAAAAAAGAAACATAAATCTGCCTAACCACTGTGAAAGGCCTATATCCTCTATATTCTCAGATATCTCTAAAAGTGATTGAGCTCATCAATTTTCTGGAAAACTTAGGAATCATTCTTCATCGACAATATGGCTTTTGCCATCGAAATTCAACTGGAGACTTACTTGCCTACTTCACCAATATATAGCAAGCTTCATTAGAAAAACATTGGGAATCTTGAGCTGTAGTTGTTTGACAACAAGGACTTCTCCACAAACAACCATCATTCAGTTTACCCCTCAACTATATTCCAGCTTTTATCGAGTTTTCTTCCTTTCAGATCGCTCCATGTGGAAGTGGACGGAGTATCTTCTGATAATATTGCCATCAATTTTGGCACCATCATTGTTCCTACTTTATACCAATGATCTGTTGGGAGCAATCACTTGCCCTATCCAATGCTTTGCAGATGATAGTACTCTTCATACTGCGGTCCCTTCCAGAATTCCTATTTCTTTTAAAGAAACTAAGAATTCACGACGAAGAGCAAGTCGGCTTTTCATGATCTACAAAGCACAGATACGGCGTGTTTCAGAATACTGTTCTCATAATGTATTGGGGTTCAGCACTCAAACATTCGCTGATTAAATTCCATCAGCCATTCTCCTGGTGGGTGATTCCACACTCACTCATTCTTTGACATCATTGGCACAGCTCAGAAGCTTTGCCAAAAGAAGTATTCCCAACAATTTATAATCTCTAAAAGTTCAAAAAAATAATCCAATACCAACCTCCTCTTCCTACCCCCTCTAGGTACACACGATATTCTTCGAACCATATAGGGATTTTCTTTCGTGCGCTCCAAGAGAAAAACATATATGATTCACGGTTTTTTATGATGGCACTCCTGCACAGGTTTAGGACCTAATATACTCTCGATAAATAACATTATGGTGAAATAAATAAACATTTAAGCTAATGCTTTGATAGTATAGGTTCAATTTTAATTTTATGCGTTTATTCTCCTTGATGCAGTTGCGTATGAATAACCTCAGATAGATATTGTTATGTGCCACTTATTATAAACGTTAATTATATTAGCACATTGATAATCTCATGAAACATCATAGGTTCGTACTTGATGGAATTCATGGAATGATATAGAATAACGCACTGCATCGATGAAAAAGACAACTTGGTCGCCTCAAAATTTCTCAACTTTTTGTATTTGTCCAATATCACATTACACGTTTCAAAAAAGAATATCCTCAGTTGTAATACTATGAGTACTTCAAAATATTCGGGTTCTACAGCGATAACTTGTTGCATAATTACAAAAAGTGTCAGTTTGACAGTTTAAATATTCAAACCGCGCAGCGGGAGGATTATTCTGTTTAACTGGCACGATTTGTGATTATGCAGGAAGTTTGAGATGAATAACCTTGAAGATTCTGAAGTTCGAATTGTATTCGATGCGATTATTTCTTGAGTATAGTTCTGAACGATAGACACACTTTATTAATTCAAGTAGGTACATATTTGTGCAGTGAAAATTACAATTATTATGAAAACATTTTTTTATTCGTGTTATTTTCAGCGCTGGAAACGTCCACGTGGTATTATGAGGCTCATTGTTTTGAATACACTCGTCTATCACTTCCATTGGTAAAGCTCCGAATCAACCCCTTTTTTTGACAAGGATCACTATACATTAACAATAACGTCAAAATTCACGACGCGCTTTGTTTGTATCTAACCATATGAATTGGTTACTATGGAAATGAAAATTATTAGCTACTCTATGTACAGGGTGGGCAAAATTGGGCGTTTTCACCGTCTATCTCAATAACAAGAGGAGTTATCGAAAAACCGATATACATGTTCCGGGTTCGATTTTGGAGAAACCTCGAATGGCACAATCAAAATTTCGATATCTTCATTCGTTTTAGAGATACAGGGGGAAATTGAAAATTTGCCGATTTCGATTTTATTTTCTGACTACTGACTACGGTGAGAGGTATCAAGAAATTTCGAAAGTATATTTATACAGTATGATGCGTGGAATCCATTGGCATCATCAGAAATTTTATACAGGGTGACGTTGAAAAGATACAGCAGCCAATTATGTTTCTTCTAATGGAACACCCCGTATATTTTGGCACAGTTGAATAGTTCCAGGCGTTTTCATTACAAATATATTATATATAACCCCAACTTTTCCTTCCACAATTTCAGATATATTCGCAAAAATATATTCAGTGTGTCACATTTCTTATGGTTACACCCCCGTATCTTCTGTAAAAATAATTGAGGTAGGATTCAAAAATTCGCAACTGTCAGAAAGATACAAATGATACACTCATGCAGTCATGGACCAAGTGGGATCATCTCCAATGATAACACTGCTCGCCAGCAGCTATGGAATCATCGATATTTCTGGATAATGCTATCAACAGGCAGAATCAAGGTTGAAAATGACATTCTGTATATATTCACCAAATGTGGAGAATAAATATCATAGGGAATGTAAATAAATATTTGGTGAGAAATAAAATGGGAAATTATTCGATTTGATATCATTGTTATCAAGACAGAAATAAGACCAATAATTTACTCAATTAGGAAATCAGTTAGTTGCGTTGAAAAATATAGCCTTATAGAAGATGTCCAAATTCCAGATACAGAACAATTGTTTTTATGGAACACCCCGTATATTTTGGCAGAGCTGGAAAGTTCCCGTTTCTATTTCAAATATATATATTATTTATTATCTCTTCGAACGCAAAAATATCAAGGCATACTAGAAATAATGGGTAAAGTATCATATTCAGGCATTCTGCCACAAAATATTAGGATTGTTAATGTTTCCATCAATTATTTTTACAGAAGATACGGGGGTGTAACCATAAGAAATGTGACACACTGAATATATTTTTGCGAATATATCTGAAATCGTGGAAGGAAAAGGTGGGGTTATATATATATATATTTGTAATGATAACACCTGGGACTATTCAACTGTGCCAAAATATACGGGGTGTTCCGTTAGAAAAAACATAATTGGCTGCCGTATCTTCTCAACGTCACCCTGTATAAAATTTCTGATAATGCCAATGGATTCCACGCATCATACTGTATAAATATACGTTCGAAATTTTTCGATACCTCTCACCGTAAAGTAGTCAGAAAATAAAATCGAAATCGGCAAATTCTCAATTTCCCCCTGTATCTCCAAAACGAATGAAGATATCGAGATTATGATTGTACCATTCGAGGTTTCTCCAAAATCGAACCCGGAACATGTATATAGGTTTTACGATAACTCCTCTAGTTATTGAGATAGACGGTGAAAACGCCCAATTTTGCCCACCCTGTATAATCACCACGTATAATCGAAATTATTCGAGGTAGCCTCACTCAACACTCAACCGAACGTTCTGATTGGTTTAAAATCATACGAAGAATATAATCAGATATATCATGAACGAAACAAATGGACACACATATAAAATAGTATTTACTAGTTGACGGTATCTATTCATCCGTTTGAGGCCGGAATCTATCTACTTGATATATTTCAATAGAAAATTGCATAAATTCATTCAAAAGTGAATCGAGAAGGAGTATATTATATATGCATGTCATTTGTTTGTCAGAGCTTGACTGAAGGTTTCAGGACGTGTCCTCTGTGTGAAGACACTAGGCAAAAAATATTGTTCAAATCACACAAGAAGCATTTTCACTAATTTTTTTCGAGATTGGCTCAGTGGAGGAGCGCACAACTTATGACCACGAGGTCTTGGGTTCGAATACCATCCAGAGCAAGGAATTTTTCTAATATTCAATATACGAATTGAACATTGTTGAGTTTCGGAGCTTCCGCTGCGAATTCACTGTTGCGTTACAATTAGGTAACAGTGGTACTCCTATAAGCTGGCGTATGGAGTTAGTATCAAACCCGGCACAGAACACAAAATTCAGAACACTTGGGGCTGAAAGACCTAAATGGAGGTCCATGGCCAGTTGGTATATTTATACAGCTTACCAACGAAGTACATATACTACTACTATCTCATTCATCAAAGTAATCGAAAATGTTTATTCGGAATGATATTAAAAAAACACAAGAGTCGTCCATTTTGATACCAAAATTAGCTCTTGAATTCACGTTTCTATTACTGACCCAAAAATAGGTATGTTGTTAGGCAACATATTTGGTTTCTAAAGTTGAACTTCAGTTCCTAGGAGATAAAGTTCAACTTTAGTTCCTAAGAGCTAAAGTTGAACATTTGTTCCTAGGAGCTAAAGTTGAACTCCAGCTCCTAGGAGCTTAAAAGGATGTACTTGACGTCATCAAGAATAAACAACATTGTTACGGTTTGTTATTCGGGTTGGGACGTATACCTGATTTGTTTTCGATTTCGGCAGATTTGGCATTTCATACCCATGCTGGAGATATGTATACACGTTATTATAGTTAAGTATAGGAATTATAAACATCTCAGCTAAGTATTTTTGTTTTGATCAGGGAGGCCTTGAAGATTCACATACTTGCTTGATCTGTATTTCATTCGTCATTCTCGGGATGGATAATTTGTTTTTGAATAATCACGCCAAGCAATAGTTTTTTGTCTCAAACAACGATATTGTTTACCTCTATTTAATTATCAAGTTAAACACAGTGTAGTATGGAGAGGAATAAATAATCACTATTATTATTGTTGATATGCTCAATAACCTAAAATTTTCCACGTCTTGTTCCTATATACCTGGCATTGGCGCGGTATTTGCCATTAGAGCACCTGGTCCATACACAAATATGTCATTCTGTGGTTGTATCGATGTTGAAACTGCAATTCGAACATCCTTGAAAATTGAATGAACCTGCTGTTAATACAGGTGAAACATTCTCACCACAAGAATTTTGTATTGATTTTTGGTGGTCACTCAACATATTTATTTGAGTTAATTCTTTCGGTTGCAGAAAAAATAGCATATTTCATTCGGATCAAAAGTGACTTTGTTTTACTGGCATATTTTGCTTCCGCTCCGCCTCGCAAATGCAAAATTCCCTTGTCAAACAAAATGTCACTTTTGATTCTAATTAAACAATCCACTATTCTTGTCGCTGAAACATAATCCCACATCACAATTAGAGCCAGATTACTTTTTTTCCATCTGAAACATAAAACAACAGAGTCGCCATTTGCCTTGTTTCCCCAACGCAAGACCACTTACTTTTCGGTGAGGAATAAAATGATTATTTTGTGGAATTTCAATTTTTTTCGCACAATGACATTGTTCAATGAGTATTTACACTATTTTGCCATATCGAAACAGATAAAAACTAGAATGAGGCAGTTGGTTAGCAAAGGCCGTATGAAACCACGTTCATTATAGTCTGAAACAAATGTTTTCCCTTGCGAATAAGCGGGATAGTACCCGTTGGCATATTTACGATTCCTATACAGCCAGCGCGATTGGTCGCTCTCACGAGATAGGGAATGGAGTGCATCCTGGAGCACTCCGTTTCCTAGCTGATATGCGCGACCAACGACCATCGGCGTTCCCGCGTGTTATTAGAGAGTTGAAGTGTTGTCATGAACGTTAACGTAAACGTAGAAATTGACAGCTACTACGTTAACGTTCATGACAACACTTCAACTCTCTAATAACACGCGGGAACGCCGATGGTCGTTGGTCGCGCATATCAGCTAGGAAACTGAGTGCTCCAGGATGCACTCCATTCCCTATCTCGTGAGAGCGACCAATCGCGCTGGCTGTATAGGAAACGTAAATATGCTACCCGTTCCTATTAGAAGAAGGGACATTACGCATGCTCTACAATACGTGGCTACAATATGGATACCCTAGGCCGCTGAGTAAAAACTATTGGAGTTGTTTCTCCTTGGCGCTACCACTAGTTCACAAAGGGTTATAGCTTACCATCCATCGTTTCCCAATGCTGCCCAATGGTCGTAGTCCCTTCGGTTGCCTCTGGTGTAAATCATGTAGTTCAGCACGCTGGATCCTCCCACTACCTTTCCACGTGGCCAGTTGCACTGCTGGTCGTCCATGCCGACGCAAAACCTGTTGCTTGGCTCTGTTTTGTACTTCCAGTTCGATTCAGTGAACTGTAGGTAGTTGGCTATGATCGGCAGGTCCATGATGAAGTTTTCAGGGCGACCTGTGAAGAACACAAATTTATTGTACGTCTCATTATTCGAGAAAATCGCTAACCGACAGATTTTTTATGAAATACAGGTTGATGACCATTTATGGAAGGCGTTGAACTTGGTTTCGAAGGTGTTTTTCTATACAACTCCTACCAGAAGTACAATAGTTCTTCAAACCATTATGTGTATTAGGAAGAGCTTTTGTTGAGTTAATAATATTACACTCATTTATTCTCTGTCCTCCACTCCAGTGGCAGCGATGGAAAACATCTTGAACCTTTTCATCCGCCACATTTTCCTGGAACCCGGCCGAGATGGTTGTCTATAGGTTCCTGTCATTGGGAATTCAAATTAGACGGAGTTGACTGTTCCATTACTCTGGGATACTGAGTGAAATAAAAATCACCAAACTTTAGGAATGGTTCCTGACATATTGGCTACTCAGACACACGTAGAAAAGCCTTTCCTTTTCCCGAAAAGAAAAAAGTGGAAACGATGATCAATCCAAATTCCCAGAGATCGAACACGTAATGTACAATGATGATTCGAAAACCCCACTTGGAGTTGGAGCCGGTGTGTTCAGCAAAGACCGAAGACGGAAATCTTATTCAATCTCGCGAGTAGGCTACAATCTTTCAGGCGGAAGTTATCGCAATTGAATTGTGTGTAGTAAGAGTTGACTTATCGATCTCTAGTTAACAAAAACATCAGTATTATATCAGACAGCCAGGCTGCTCTTGAAACGATGGGCTTCATCAAGGTGAGTTCCAATCTGGTGTACATGCCATAAAGTGCTCAAGAAGAGATTGAATGTGCACCCCTACAAGACCAGTGTAGTACAGAAAGTTCTGCCAATAGATATCCCAAGTCGTCTGGAGTACTGCCAATGGTTGCAAAATAATCTCAACGATAACCAGTTATTGGAATATCAGACCTAGAATTTTGGAGACCCGAGAATTCCCACAATTTCATCAAGAGTTCACTACATTCTCAAAAAAACGGAGTGGTTAGCAGTTTCTCGTAGGCGAATGTATGGACAGATTTCTGTCCTTGGCACTATCAATGGTGAAAGTTACAGACACGTGATGTTGGAACCATTCATTGATCAACTTGATGATGAAGAATTTCGGGTTGTCTATTTTCAGCAAGAGGGGGCCGCTGCCCACACCACACGTGCAAAATTAGCGTATTTACAAGAGTTTCATGACAAACGCGTGATAAGTCGAAGAGTTAATCCGTCTTTCCCAACACGATCTCCAGATTCGCCGCCTTTCGATTTCTGCCTCTTTGGATATTTGAAAGGAGAAGTATTCAAGAGAGACAATAATGATCTTGAAGACCTGCTGCTAAAATATTTGCCCGGAAATGCCGAGGAGCATTTTCGACAACAAACCGCGAAGAGTTGTGAAATGGTTGGAGAACAACGGAAAACAATTTGAACATTTAATGTAGGTTAATGAAATAATCTGTTATTCATTACTTCTTCAATCGAAAATTTTCGAATTGTTCCATTATTTTTCAAACTCCAATGTTGTACTCGCCTTTCTTTGAGGTACATTCCCATAGTGTTTCCAAAACTATATAAAAAAGTCCTGTTTGATGACTTCCTCTTATTTCAGTCGTTTCAATGTTGTTAGCAGCATTAGTAGATACAGCGGCAAATAAAAAAAACAACAGCCACTACGAAATTACAATTCGAACATCCTTGAAAATTGAATAAACCTGAACTGCAAATGCAGGGAGAATATTCTAACCAAACGAATTATTTGTTGCATTGCCTACATATGGCACGGCATCCATGTATCGGGTAGTATTGAATTCATGCCTGTAATGTAGTCTCTAATGAGATGATGCATGTCAACATGAATTGTAACAAAGTAAATTAGTCTGAGGTCTTGCTTCTATCCACTTACTCATTTAAGGCCTGTTCGTTTGTATTGCTGAACTTGCTCAAGTCGATTTCTTTCTCATAGTTGTCTCTGTTCATGGCATGCTGTAAACAGAGAATGCCATGGACAAAAGTCAAGTTCAGCAGGCAGAGCAAGCACAAACGAACAGGCCTTTTATAATAATCTGTCTCGTGAGTCACATTGGTGGTTACTTCACTCATATTTATTTTAATTAATTTTTTCGGTTACAGAAAAAATAGCATGTTTCATTCGGATCAAAAGTGACTTTGTTTGACTCTGCTTCGTTAGACGCTCCGCTCGCAAATGCGAAAATCGCTTGTCAAACAAAGTGTCACTTTTGATCCTAATAAAACAATCTACTATTTTCGGAGCAAAATATAGAGAATTTTCCATTTTCGCAGCATCGCAGTACACTGAGTAGGGCGAGTAGTGCGGGCCCATGAAGGTCTACGTTTGTACCAAATAATATCAAATCTCTGCTTTCGAAGATGTTTGAAATACAGGGGTGTCTTTATCTCGAGTGTGCCAACACTGTTTATAAAAATTAGAAACAAAACAAAACTTATTTGGACAAACAAATCACAAATCATAGCAGCCATCATCGTCTGTATGCACTGTGTCCAAGATAAGGATATCTATCATGGGCATCGTTTTTATTTTTTTCTGAAGTTATTCAAAGAGATATGGATAAGCAAAAGACACTTTCCTATTGCCACTTTCTGAGCTCTACAAAACATTATTGAGAGATTTTCCGTACGACGTTTCGTCTCGGAAAAACCTATATCAACTTTATCCCATGCATGATAGTCATCCTTATCTTGGACACTCTATCTTACAAATTTTCATTCTTGGGGGAGGGGGGACGTTTTGTGTGGAAATGACTTCACTCTGTCATCAACTTTCCTGGTCTACTGCGCATACATTTCGCTCACCTGCCTCAATAAGTAGCACATTCCAGTTGGGATTCTCCGACAGCCTATTGGCCAGAACGCAACCAGCTGTTCCGGCACCAACTATGATGAAATCGTATTCACGTTTCATCACATATTCTGGAACATCCTTGGGTTCCGTGTTGAACTGGCTGTCGCCATCTTGGATCAGGTTGATGATGCCATCGAGCAAGGAAAGAGATGGCTGCTGTTGTAGCGCTAATGAGAAGAACGTCGAGAAAATCAGAGCGCTGGAAAGTGTCGATGACATTTCGAGAAATGGATGCTGAAAAAAAAAAGGAAAAGGATAACTCTCTTTTCTATAGTAACCTGACTATCTTGGTAGAGTCTATCCAGAGTGGATTTGGGGCATCTCCAGCAACATGATGATGAAGATGATGGAAAACCCCAATTTTTAGTGACAACAGAACATTAGAAACCTCCAACGCCCCGCGTGTGAGTCGAACTTATAAACTCTGTGTTACATGCCTAACGTTCTGTTGTCATCACTCACCAGGCGGCAAAACCCTCCCTAATACAATGGCGGGAGATGAACGGGGGAAAATGATGGAGACTGTATATAGTACCCACTAGAGTCACTGGATCGATTAGTTTGATGAGAGTTCGGACACAGCTGAACTTTTGTCCTTTTCTATTTTCTATAATACAATGGTTTAAGTGAATAAAAAAATAAGACATATATTCTGCTCTTTGTCTTTTCAATTTCCCTAGTAGCACCTGATTGTCAGATACGATTTTAGAGGTTATATTTTCTGTCAAATCAATCATATCCGTAGATGGACAATGGATATAGGGTGAAAACACCCACTTCAATTATTCATACTGATACACTCTTAGCAGAACAACTGTTACATAAAGGAAGAGAATGCATGCATGTAACAACATTTTAATATCAGAAAATATACACATATGATGGATAAACTTATATAGCTTTAATTCCTTATTGTATGTCAAACTGTACTCCAGTGATAAGTTTAAAACATGAAGTCATTAATAATAAATTAAAGGTAGGAAGTAACATAAGTACGTTCAAGTGAAGTATTCCTGAGACAATTTCAAGAAATTAAGTCTATATAAGTTTGTGTCCGGAAATGCTTCATTTCCGAGATACAGGGTGTTGAAATACAGAGAACAAATCATTTTTCGAATAAACATCTCATAGGAAAAAAGTAGTTTATTTTGAGTCCTACCAAATAGGTACTTGGTTTTGTGAGTAACATGGATCGATATAGAAAATATCTCCAAAACGATAACCTCCAGCGTAATTAAGGCCCTTACATACATAAATATCCATACACTTTTCACTTCACTTCACTTTAATGTTGAATTTTGAATTTGGTCGGCACCAAAAACGCCATTCAATAATATATCACGTTGTAGTTCACTTGTTTTTCTTAGTTTCGTTTTCAAATTCTCAATTTCATTATGTAATTTTGCGATCATTCCCTCTTTCCATAATTATTCTGTTTTGTATTTTGTGTGATGATAATAATGGAATTTTGTTCTTGAAATCGTCTGTAAATTGATGGAACAGCAGATTCTCTCAAACAGATTTTGAAATCTTCTGTTTGAAAATGGGCCTTGAATATAAAGTCATTTTGATCAGATGCTGTTATAAGAAGTGAATTTCAATGAGTACCTCACAAGTTCCGTTCGTCTTCAAATTGATTTTCCACCCAGGCCGTTTCATATCTTCCTTCCATAAGCAAATGGTTGATATTGAATAAATTATATCCATTTTTTTCAAAATTGGCACAATTTATTACACAGCAAGTCTTTTCCATAGCTGCTTTTTTTCTCGAAAGTATAATTATGAAATTTTATTCCAATTCTGACGTTTATAAAATGTATTGTCAAATTCAAACAATTTTGAATGGAAAAGCGCGGGACGACTATGGTGCTCTTGGCACAATGCAAGTGGGTACTAGAGTCACTGGATGGTATTAGTTTGACGATACTTCATATAGTGCATGATTTCGACTTCCGAATGACTTCGGGAATTGGGAGGATTTTGCCTAGGTTGTGATGAGAACTCGACCTCCGTTCCGATTGATCGACGGTCAGGTGTTGTGAGTTCGACTCTCACTCGGGGCGATCGTTCATTTTCGTCGACCTCGTATCAACGAGTAAGTTAAATGTTCACGAAATTGATTCCCTATTAATGATAAATTTGTCTATTAATGTACGATTGAAGCATAGGCAACCAATCATACACCGCGTCCATTCACTGTTTATGATGCTATAACTTGCGTAATCTGCATTCAAATCGAAAATATGGATTTCATCAAAGATTTTCCGTTAACGGTTCAATCCTACCAGGTTTCTGAAACGATTTTAATCCCTGTTTTATGACACAAGGAAATTATTTTCTATGTTGATTATTTCGACTAATGTCTAATGTCACTAATGTCAGTGACAAGGCTACTGGGTGATTCTTATAATAGTTTACGGATGAATGAGGAAGTTGCGAACCAAGTTTTCTTCATTTGCAGGAGATAAGGAATATTATTACCACGGGACTTTATAACCTTCGGCATATAATCTTGGAATCTGAGTAATAATGATATTCTTCAATACCTTGGTGTATAAATCACTATTTCGGTTGTTTAACTGTCAAAAATAATTTCTCACCCCAATGTCTACAAGAAACGAACGCCAGGCAGGAAATTCAATCCATATATTAGCAAAAATTCCTACCTAACCAGAAGTAATTTTCTTTGTGGGTCAATAGATGCAACCTTATATTTTTTGTTCCAGGTGAGTTCAAAATGGTTTCTGGGAATGATGGAGAACTTCATACTTAACGCACCTCAGCCTATAACAAATTGTAAGTAAAACTAATTGCATGAATCCTTAGTTCTACTCAGATCGTTTTACTAAACTGATTATAGAATGGAATTATCAGCTTTGTTGTCCATTAAATCACCCAGAATGAGATGGTATCCATGAAGTGGAGGAAATTCCGGCGTTCCACAAGGACCAATTTTTGCACCGGTCTTACTTCATATTAATGATCTATTGGGGGTAACCGCTTGCCCAATCCACATCTTTGCAGATGATGGTACTCTCCATACTGCTTTTTCTTTCCGATTTTCCATTTCTTCTCAGGAAACTAAGATGACAATGGTGAGTCAACGCTGTCAATAAGGATATTGCTGAAATTACAGTCTGGGGATAACAACAACCTTGAATTCAACGTCACCAAAACTCAAGCCTTTATTTTCTCTAGAAAGGCGAAACTATGCCTGATATCTAAATATCTAATACCATTATTTCCACAAAGTCCATCTTAATCTATGCTTACGTCATTAGTAGTTGTTGTTTCCATATAAATAATCTCAAAGTGTATCGAAAAAATAGCGTGAAGTATTCGAAGATTACTGGTCTTTAACCCTTAACTGGTATTGTGTTTTACCGAAACGTAACTGGTATCGTGGAGTATGTCAACACCCACTATTTTATTTGGTGATATATACAATGAAAAACACATGACTCTTCAAAAATGTTGCTGTTTTGTGAGGATATCGGATCAGGAAAACTATGATCCTCAAAAAAACTCGATTCATATTTGAGTGAAGAGAAGAAGAAATATCTGGAATGAGTATTACTGGGGAGCAAAACAAAAATCCATATTCTTCGGAGGCTGTTAAAATCACTTGAAATGTCGTGTGGAAAGTAGTCGCTGTTGCAGGTTGTTCTTCAGAGCTCACTATTGACGTTGGCGCCTGGGGTGAGAAAAAAAATCGATTGATTTTGAAATAACTTCCAGGGGTTTAATTTGCACACCCCGCTCTTCATTTTTGAAACTGTTTGATTTTTGCAAAAAAATTCACTACGATTTCCTAGATATTACGAACTTAGGAGAATCGGAACCACAAATCATACCAAGTTAATTGAGAGTATGATATTTCGCATAATTATCACTAGTGGGGTACCGAAAAATCCTCGGAAAAACCCCACGATACCACAGTAGTCAAGGGTTGAAATACTTTTTATACGGCTATACACTGGAAAAAAAATGAGGGAATTTTCACTCAAACTTCACTCAATAATGTCTCAATTTCGGTCCACGCCCGATTGAGTTGAAAATTCACTCTACTTGACTGAGTGAAATGGTAATTGAATGAGTGAATTGAGTCGATGTTCCCAGTTCAGATTTGAATATTATTTCAGCTTTGCGATTTCTTGAGTGAGTTTCAATTCATTTTTGAGTGCCTAGAACATTTATTGAGTATGTATATGCCCATTATTGAGTGCTTTTATATCCAAAATGAGTATTTTAAAACTTTTCATGACTGGTTTTATACAATATATTGAGTGAATATGATATATATATATATATATATAGTACAGAAGTTTATTAAAAATAAAAGTAGATTACAATTCAATTACAATCACAATGTACTCCTGATAAAGAACAAAGCTAACACAATTTGAAATCATCAGTACATGCGGTCTCGCCTTCTGAAATCGAGTATGGCTTCTTCTCGCTGCGCAGAATCTTACTAACAAGCTCGTTGACGCGTTGACAGTCACATCGATCTGCAGACAAAAGATGCATATATGAACAGCTGATTCAAAAATGTATTCATCAGAGCAGATTTGTTCTGGGTATGTTACCTAAATAGAGACAAATTCACCAATAACGTTTCAAACAAATATTTTATCGATCTCAATGAATGATCACAATTGAATTATTCAATCAGTTTTGATAACACTTTCTCAATTAAGATTCAATATACCTAATTTGGAAATAATGTGCTCAATGATGATTCAATTTGATCATTTCTGATTTGAAATACTGTTATTTCAATAATTTTCAGTCACTATTGAGTGAAAAGCAAACACACGAATATGGCCGAGCATGGCTGTGAAAGACATCAACGGCGATATGGACTATTCAACAGAAGAATAAGTACCTATATTGATTTATCTGAACGTCAAGGTAATCGGATATAAATCAACACTATATATGCAATACAATTCTTAAGAATCACATCATCCAAATGAATATTTGAATTATTTGATACAATTCACGATCATCAGCCATGTTGTTGAAAGCCTTCATGCATTTTACGAAATTAAACTTACCCGCAGTAAGTATTCCCAAACTTCACAGATATAATGATGCGAATAACATGTTTCTGCTCGAACTTCAATTACAATTCACTGAAATGGAAAGCACAGGATTGTTTTTATGCACTGAACTTCCATCAAGACTGACGCTGCGTTATCAATTGGACAAAACGGCCTCTGCATA